CAGCTCGAAGAGGAGAAGCTTGAGAGTCACCATCATGGGGAAGAGACTGAGGAGAAAACTAAACCTGAGTCAGTTAAAGAAGTAAAGAAAATATGAAGATGGATGGTTGATAATGAAAATTAGATAATACCTAAAAGGCATTTGTATCCACTTAAACGCTAATTAGTGGCAGGTACTGGATTGGTACGTTTTGAAAGTTCGGTTACTGAATTGTCTCGTTTTAAAGTTCTGGGACCAAATTGGCACTAGGCTCAAAGTATAGGTACTAATTGAGAATTTTCCCTATATAATATAATATTATGGTATGTTATATACTATAGTCAGGGCAGGTTTGGGGCCGGGGTCAAGGTGGGGAGGACAAATACCAACCCCGCACCGTCCTCAATTCCTAGAGTTTTGGGTTTCCCCAAACCCCGGTCAATGATAAAAAACCCCGCCCGACTGGGGTGGGGCCTTAAGGGAATGGGTCAAATTACCATCTCTAGATCACGTCCATGGTAATACATAAAACCCTAATTAAAATAAATAAAAAATTGTATACCTCCATTTAGATCGATTTCCAATAAAGGTGTGCAAATAATTGCTTTGGTTCCCTTTTCGCAACCACACAATTGTTTGGCTTTGAAGATTCTCCACACAAAGAAATAATTGATCAAAGCTCCTAAACCTTTCATAGAGTCTGATCCAAGAGAGGAAGAGGGAGAGTAAGGGGTGGCTCCAAAAATGTGCTAGCAATCTATATGTTTCTAGGGTTTAGAATTGCAGCATTAAAAGCTTTTATCTTAAACCCTAAGGGCGCCCCATGCATTCCTTATATAGAGTTCTGTTCTATTTTCAATTAGGAAACTTATCTCATAAGGTTTGGATAATTGCAATTAGGATCATATTCCACGTCTCCAACGAGTTTGGCTTCCGTTAGGGCAACACCCATTTGAGCAGCCTTTAGAACCTTGCATTGGGAATATCTCCCCACTCATGTGCTTTATTTCACGGGGAGATATTCCTGATGCAAGGTTACAAGAGGCTGTTGGGATGGTGTGAGCATGGGCTTGTCCTAACTGAAGTCAATCTTGTCTCTAACCCTGATTTTGAAATAAATCTCCATCTCAGGTTCCCTATGGAGACCCAAATCTCTGAAATTTTTTAATTAATAGTATTTTTGAAAAATAAATTTACTTAAAATAAATAAAAAAATTTAAAATATATATATATAATCGGGGTCAGGGTGGGACAGGAACCTCATTCCTCATGCCCGACCCCATTAGGTCAGGGAAGTCAAGTACCCGTGGAGGATGGGGAAAATGGCCATTCCTGATTGCAATTCCCTCCACTAAGACTCCTAGATCTTAGTGATCAGACTCATACTTTGTTTACATTTTGCTCCTTAATGTGTGTGACCTCTTATGTTCAACACTATTCTACAGCGACACATGATATTAAACTGTTCATTATCCCAAATGGAACTCCTCTTTCGATTAAGTTAAATTAAAACTCTTTTAATTCTCTCTTAAATGTGAACAATTGACCTTTATTCACAAGAGTTTCACATGTCATTAGTGACACTTATCAGTATGTCATGACTAGACTTGTTCAAGGGTTGGGCCAGGCCAGGTTTGGTTTGAACTTTATCTCTTTATAAATAGAAAATGACCAAGCCTAAGCCCAAACCCAACTAACCATTGAGCCTAAATCTTAAACTCGAGTTTGGCCCTATATAAAGCCCAATCAAGGTAGATGTTTAATATTATATTAATAGTATATCATTAATAATACATTATATTATATAATGTTCTATATATTATATTATATAATACTTTTTTCACAACTAATTTTATTATTATATAATATATATCTTTTTTTTATTATATATAATACTATGAAGCTTACCTTATTTGGGAAAGCTCAAGTCCAATCTGAAAAAATAGTCAGGCCCAATTTTTAGAGCCTGAACCTACGGGCTTAAAACTTTGTTCAAGTCCGATTTAGAATGGGTCAGGCCGAACCAGCCCATTGGGCTACCCAACCCATGAACTAGTCTAGTCATGACTACCTTAATAATTTGAATTTGGCATATTAAACCTTTCCATGTATAGTGTAATAGGATCTTTCTATTATACAATATCTCGAAAGAGTAAAGGGTCATGGTAAATATGTCAAACCCTATTGGCTCAATTATATGCCCTATTGAATTAATGACGACTCATATAATAACACTTGGAACTCTTTTGCCTTGCCAAAGACTTACTAAGTCACATCAATCTTAGTTGCATAGGACATTCTCTCTCCTCAAGGAGAATTACAAATTCCATTTTGTACATTTACATACTTCAATGTACAAGTCACCATATATAGACAACATGTGTATGCTTATATCACCTCATTAGGGTACAAGTATTTACTCTTGCATAAGGTAGCCATGATGTCTTAAGTCTAAGGATCATCCACACAATTGTAGTGATAAAATCGGTTATTGACAAAAGATTGCATGTAATTATTCTATTAATGAGTCAAGTTTAGTGAACTTGTTCACTAGGGCTGTTCGCGGGTCAGGTTGGATCGGTTTATTGATGTTTTTTCAACTGACCCGACCTGGTCGGGTTACCTGGAATTGAAACCATAACCGACCCTGTGTTGAGCAAAACCGACCTAACCGGTTTGAGTCGGTTTCAGCTCTACTTAGTGGTGACTCAGTTGCTGTTCAAGTGTTCATTTATGACTCTACATTCCCAAAGGAAACCAGCATTTCTTTAATGTTTTGTGGCCCATCCATGGATCCAGTTGTGGAGGGAGCAGAGTTTAAGGGGTTAAGGGGGGCAGACCAAGTTAGAAGTTATCAAGAAAATAGAAAGTCAAATTGTATTAGAGAAAGAAGACTAAAATTTGTATATTTCAAGAAACCTTCTAATCTAAGTAAAAAATGACACATAATTCTAATTGTAATTGATTGCCTATTTGGTGTAAAAGACCTTAGAAACTAGGACCCTTTGATTATTTTCTTTAAACTTTTCCAAAAGATGCAAGAAGTTATCATCTCAAGGAGGAAAGGTGTAGGGAGTAGAACTAGGGATTCCTTGTCTTACAATACTTGCCATTAATGTCATTCCTAACTAGAAGACTAAAAATTAAGTTAGGTTGTAACTAGGATAGAGACAACTTAATTAACTAGGATAGAGACATTAACTTGCCATTAATGTCATTATTAACTACAAACTAAATACTAAGTCGGTTCGGGTCGGATCGGTTTTGGTTTTTACACATGAAAACTGAAACCAAACCGAATCATTGGTTTATGATTTTTTATAACCCAAAACCAATCAGTGCTAAAGAAAACCCGACCGACTCAGGTTGGATCGATCTGTGTTGGTCGATTTGGGTCTTATTATGAACAACCTTATTGTTCACATATTTGCTTCAATGTTTCCATACAAGTAATTTGAAATTCATCACCCCATAAAAGCAAACATAATATGTATCAATCTATCTAGATTATCAAAGCCGTATTGATAATTTTTCCACTAAGAACTATTTAAAAATCTTGTACCAAAATAAATATATTTATTAATACTAAATGTAAATAGTACATTTAGTATTAATACCACTAAGAACTATTCATGTAAATTATAAGAAAAAGATATGAATGTAAAATGTCCATTTATTAATACTAAATGTAAATAGTACAAAGAGTGCCCCTCCTAATGGTATTACATTATTGGGTTTAAGACACATGACTAACATATGTGTCCTATTATAGGTCAGTACTAGTAAGTCAGGTATCCGATTTGAAGAACTTACCCTACATCGGGCTCGGGATTTCGGGCTTAATGGCCCATTCAAACTTTAACAAATTTCTAATCCTACCCGACCCAAGTTGCACCCTAGCCATTACCTAATGTTGGTCCCAATTATGTGGGGTCTTAAGAGAGGTAGATTGGACACGGTCCTAACATTGGCAGTTTTCATATAACGTATAATATTAAATTATTATTTATTATATTATATCATTTATAAGACCAGAAGCCCCACCTAGACCGGTGTAGGGCCAGGCTCGGAGTGTAGCTGTGTAGGCAGGGCCAGGCCTGGACCCAAGCTAAAATTGGCCCTGGCTCATTGTCGACTCGGGTTACGGGGTAGGGGTGTCAATTGGATTAGATTTTGTCTAATCTGGTCCAGTTCAATATGAATCTATTATAAATGGATTATGTTCCATCCAGTCCAATAAATATTTTGGATGGGTCTAATTTAATATATAGATCATGTAATCTGTTCAAATTTGTTTTAATTTAGATTGATTCTAACCCAAACCTGGTCCATTGACCCCTATATTCTTATATATCTTCTACCAATGGACCATATATTGGCTCAATCCAACCCAGTTCAAATAAATTTATTATAGATGGACCAGGTCCAATCCAACCCAATAAACACTTTAGACCATTAAGTCAAGACTGGTCCAATTCAATATGCCTTATTGGTCCGTCCAACCCGACTAAATTGATTTTGGTTTGGACGGGGTCCAATCCAAAACCGATACCCTTTACGGGACCACTGGAAGGTGCCATTAACGTAATGCTTGGCTTGATCTGACTTAATCAAAATATTGTAGATTAGAATAGAAATACATGATGGATCCCCCGGCCCCATTGAAGGGGCACCACTTCTCCCCATTATTCTGCTACTCGTCTTCTTCATACGCTCACAAGTGGTCATCCCTTTCTTTTCTTCACATTGAAAAACAACAATCATGCGCATGCCCTTAGTACAACCTTGTATCACGGGGCTTTGGTAAACCACCTACATTTCACTGTTTCAGACTCTCTCTCTTTCTCTCTCTCTCTCTCTCGTGGCCAACAAAATCAATTGCAGGAAATCATGGCTTCAGGTAAATAAAGAAAAAGTTGCATCACATGGTCCAGCTCACGGCGTAACTCATGCCGAAATGAATTACATCTAGTCAACTTAGGAGACGTATAAGTGGTGAGGCCCTTTGGCCCTTGGTTTGGGTTATGGGACAGGACAGTCTCACACAATATTACTCAACCAATCTCCCTCTTAGTTTCTTCTAACAACTTGTCTGTAACTTCAATGGGTGAAATTACACCCAACACTTGGTTTCTCTTCTTCGTATTCATCTTCTCTCTGAGATTCTTCAATGGAGAATGCTCTCAGTCCAGCCTAGGGAAGGACTCATGGTTGGAAGAAAAAGACCATGAAGTAAACATGGTTCAAGGTCAGCCGACCTCCATGAACAGCTGTGATATGACTGAGGGGAAATGGGTTTATGATCAATCGTACCCTCTTTATGATACAACATGTCCTTATCTTAGTATTCCGGTGAGCTGCCGGAGAAATGGTCGGCCGGATTCTGACTATGAGAAGTGGAAGTGGAAGCCTCATGGATGTTCAATTCCCAGGTAAATGAAAGATAATTCTCTTGAGGAGCCCAGAATTTTGGCATTCTGAAGCTTTTTGGTGATTGGAAGATTGGAAAATAATTAAGCATGTATTTTACCATCTTAATTAAGGATTTTAAATTCTCTGCAGAACTGATATAAATTGAAAATGGGTGCTTCTGTTTCTGTTTGTTGTGTATTACTTCTTGCAGCCTCTGAGAAATATGAAGTTATTAAATAGAAATTGTTACCATGATTCAGGTTTGATGCATTGGATTTTCTTGCAAGGATGAGAAGGAAAAGGATAATGCTGGTAGGAGATTCCATAATGAGGAATCAATGGGAGTCTCTTGTGTGCCTTGTGGAAGCAGTTATTCCTACTGAGCTGAAGACAGTTACCTATAATGGTCCATCTATGGCCTTCCATGCCTTGGTAGGATGTTTGTGCAGAGATGGTCTCCTGTAGTTTCAGTTTTTCCCTGTACAGATTGATTCTCACTATCTATCCAGTAGTAACATGCTCATACTTGCAGGATTTTGAGATGTCAATTGAGTTTTCTTGGGCTCCATATCTGGTTGAAATGAAGGAAGGACCCCAAAACAAAAGAATTCTGCACTTGGATTTGATTGAAGAGAATGCAAAATTCTGGAGAGGAGTTGATATTCTTGTGTTTGATTCAGCTCACTGGTGGACACACTCTGGGAAATGGAGCTCGTAAGAGGATCCTGCAACAATCACTCTCTTTTTCCCTTATTAAATTCTGTTCTTGTCAAAACTTGCTGCACCTGGATGCTTCATATTACTTTGATTTGTAGGTGGACATGATTGTTGGGGCATATTATTAGCATAGATTGAATAATTGGCAGCCTGGCTATTTGCATCATCAAACTGTGGGTTGTTGCAGGGTGGACTTTTACATGGAGGGAAACAGTATGATCACAAGCTTGAACCCAATGGTTGCCTATGAGAAGGGTCTAACTACATGGGCTAGATGGGTAGACTTAAACCTAGACCCCAAGCGAACCCGAGTCATTTTTCGGAGCATCTCGCCTAGGCATAACAGGTAAGATGCCTCCACTGATTCACTGCTCATACTTGAACAAACATCAGTTGGTTTTTTAACTGGAGGAACACTTGGGTGCCTTGCAGAGAAAATGGCTGGAAATGCTACAATCAGAGGGAGCCATTGAGGAACTTCAATCACCAACCTCATGTTCCTGAACAATTGCCAATTCTAGAAGCAGTACTAGAGAGAATGAGCTTCCCAGTCTACTTGCATGATATCACAAGAATGTCTGCATTTCGAAGAGACGCCCATCCATCAGTATACTCCAGGGCTTTGGATGAGCAGCAGAGGCAGCACCCAACAGACTACACCTCTGACTGTAGCCACTGGTGCCTTCCTGGGGTACCTGATATATGGAATGAGATGCTGAACGTATTAATCTAATCTTGTACAAAGAAAGTAAAACATAGCTAGGGTGGTTAGAAGAATAACTTGTTCTGCCAAATTAGGGTCTGTCTGTTGTTCATGCCAACTAGATGGAAGTACGGCTAATTAGATCAACTGATCAAAATAGGTGTTTATCAGTGTCTTGAGTTTTGTACTATGAGACTTCCTTAAAGAGCTCTCTGTAATGATGTTCTAAGATGTGATATGAGTATGATGGCAATAGTGCTTTCTTATCTGTTGACCATATATAGAATTCAATTAAATTCTTTGATGCTGTCTGCTATCTTGGACTAGGTACAATTGAGATCCATCAATATTCATGTTAATTAATATTTAGATAGAAATGAAATTTTATCCATTGGATTAGAATATTGCACACCATTAGTAAACTAAACTAAACTTTAAATTATGAGAATATTATATGTTGTTAATAAAATAAACTATAAGTGACTTTAATATCATATGTAATGAATAAGATGACTTAATACTAACTTTTATGATACTTGAAACTATGACTACTTATTTAGCAATAAAATATTCAAACCAACTTTAGTAATTGATGCATATTAAGTTTTAAGGTAAATATTATCGGATTTAGATTGGAGCAGATCATATTGGGATTGCCTTAACCAGAGTGGGTCTTGGTGATCAGCCAATCCATTCGGATCAGTTGTATACTTAATTAGGTTGTCTCTTAACCTGTCAAAGGGTCATTCATGGGTCAGTAACTTGAACCATTTGCCGGAAGACTCATCCAAGTTTCAGGTATATTAAGGCTACCAGTGAGACATTCAGTCCAAAATTTAGCAAATTTTTACCTCATTTTGTCCCTCATTTCATTGTATTTGTAACTAAGCACATGGCATAGCCAAGTTATCCATTGAATTGCACCCTTCTTCAAACTGAAGATACACTGTTCAGATAGAAACAAAACGCCCATGCATGGATCTCTTGAGAAATCCTCCATGCTTGTAGGGCAAAGTGAGAATAGGGGTGAGGCCAGCAGCGCATGGGACAGGTTTTGACAAGGGTACATGAGGGCCATAGGGCCAGCCAGGGCTTGGCCTGTGGCCAACCAGAACCTTCATAACTATTTTATATAAGTTTAATGAAAGCCCTTAGAGATGGGGATTTCTCCTTCACACAATTGGGTAGGCCTCCCTCCCAAAAAGAGGACTAAATAATGTGGGCCACATATAGATATAAAAACATGTTGTGTCCTAATTCAAATTTAAGTAATATATATTATCATGTTTCCATAATTTGACAATGGATATGACAGAGAATAGAATAAAATGAAGTAACGGGGTTCATGTAGCCGACCCCATATAGTTGAGACAAGGCTTAAATGATGATGATGATTCAAATAACAGGGGGTTCATGGGGTGAGGACTGAGAGTAGGTCACAAGTGAGATTCATTGACCTCACCAACCAGCCCTTTTTTTTGTGCAGGCAAGATTCCATCCCAAGCCTCCATTACAACCAGCAGGATACCTTATGAACCAGCCTTGCACGGATACGCAAGTTTGATCTCCTACCTCTTCTTTTAGGCCTAGTTCATTTTTCAGGAAGTCATTTACCTGGGTAAATGCACTTATCTAGGCAATGTTTCCTGGGAAACACTTACTCCGGTAAGTACACTTATTAATGTTCTTTTGTTTATGAAGTACAGTTAAATAATAATAATTTTATCCATTAAAATGTCATTACTGAAGGGGTAATGTTGTCTCATCAGGCATTAGCAAATTTCCCCATAAATGAGAAAGTTATTTAGTAAATGGGTAGAGGTTAATATTTATCTAAGTAACTGAACAGCTCGGAAATCGTTCTTTTCCATAGGACCCATTAATACCAAAACATGAATACAAGTGAATTGATCAACTCTTCTGTTGACCAACTTACCCATCCCTATTTATTAAAAAACGAACTCGGCCTTAGAAGGATTCTAAGTGACCATGCATCCAAACTACTGGATCATTAGCAATGTCTAGAATATTCAATTACTACCAAGCCAATAGCCTTATATAATCAACTATCGTAAATTAAATATAGAAATTATTAAGTATCCCTTGGCAAGTCTTTTTAGGAAGATCTTATGACAGTCTGGATGGCCAAAAAATGTATTTAGTATTTAGGGTAATCGATTTTTTAAAGATCAACTGTTTGTTAGTATTCTAATCTACCGTAGACTACCGAACTGTTATACAAAAGATTTTAGGCACGGAAGGATGGCCTGATTTTTTTGTCGTTTCGGATTCTGTGAACTTTTTAGGATGCAGTTTTTTCCGGCTTCCCAATATTCGTTGTCAAATGAAAAAAGACTGTTTTCCGGTCTAACAGTCTTTGAAAAATTAAAAAAAAAACTTTAAAAATACCAAACAGGCCCTAAAAAAAGCCATTACTCAATGTTGAACGTTGGTCCAGCTATCTAAGGTTTTGAGTCTCTCATACTCAAATCCACCATGCAGCGTGTGGACCCTAAATAAATGCACTCAGTCATCATAGTGCCATTTATAATGATGAAAATGCCCCTCAGTGAAAGACAAATTTTTTCCTTTCTTTCCTTTATCCTTCTCTTATGTTTTTTTATACTGAATCTCCCCAATTCTCAAACCGAAAGACACCCTAATTCCCTAAAATGACAAAGCAGGGTGACCAGAAGCATCTAATGTGAATGTGATGCTGATCATGAGCCATATGGTTGATCCTCCATTTCACCATCCGAACGCTATTACTTTTCTCAAATTTGACTACAATCATGTAATCCGATGGTCATGACGTGGACATTGAATGATAATAATGATCCATGATTAAAGCTGAAATGATGCATATCTTGTATTTACTTGTCCATTTTCTCTCTTAATATTGGTTTTCGGTATTACATGGTCCACATTTAGGCCCATTGAACACGCCTAAGATTTCCTGTGCTTCTCTATTTGGAGGGACGATCATCTCAATCTCAACTACTGGGTCATTGACGTAATATTTATCTCCACCTTTTTTAATAAATTTTCTTTTAGTTTCTCCCTATCTCACCCCATATTTTCTCTCTCCTCTCCTCTCTTATCATTTAACAAGGCTACAAGTTGCCTAATTTGAAGATTTCAACTATATCATGTTTGGGTTAAGTTTTGGATTCATGAACAGATCCTTAAAAAAGGATTTGAATTAGGAATGAGGCCATCCATAGAAACTTTAGAATAGATTCAATATGATAAAATGAGATAAAGTAGACTAAGATTGTTTGATCATATGCATAGAAGACCATCAACAACACTGATTAAAAAATACAAGTTGAAGGGACTAGCAAGGATAGTGGTAGACCAAAAAAGACATGGGCAATTGTAAGAAATGATTTAAACACTATTAATCTAGGTTTGACTATGATGACAGTAAAATGTGATATTAGAAAAACTTACAACAAATCAACTGGCATCATAAGAGTATAACTAATCAGATGGATTTTCATCAAAATTCACAGGGGGTTGTGATCGGTAAAAGCCTTTCTGGTAATATATCTCTTCAGCATCATAGAGTTTCCCATTAATTTAATAGTAGATATTGCCTTTAAAGCTTAAATAGAACAGTGGTGAAATAGGATTCATGTAGCCGACCCCATATAGTTGGGATAAGACATGAATGATGATGAAGATGATGACGATGATGATATGCATATATAAAATGAAATTCAATTAATTCAACTTTTTTGTTTAATCAAATTTTCAAATCCAAAAACCAAAACCAAACTGAAATAACTAAATTTCAACCCCAAAACTGAATCAACCCAATTGATATCCCCTAAATTTCCAGCTTAATTTTAACCGAATAATGTTCACTCTTACTATTAGCTAGTTACATCTGAAACCCAAGTGATACGTGATTAATATAATGAGACAACGAAGAAATAGCTGGCACAATGAAGTATGAAGAATAAATAGTTGGATATAGGGGTGCAAATGGATCAGATCATGATCCGAACCTATTTGGTTGAATTCGGATCACCCATGGTTGGATCTTTGGATCGGATCATAGGATTCGATTTGAAATTGGATCGGATTCGGATCACTCCCTATCCGATCTGAGAAGATTTGATCCGATGTGTTAGATATTTATAAATATATATAATACATATATATATGTTATTTATTTATTTATAAATATATTATTTTTATAATTTTTTTATATTATTTATTTTATTTTTATAAAAAATGCATATATATGATGAAAATAATTAAAAAGTACTTATATTTTTTGTTTTTTCTTTATTTAAATTAGTATATTTTATTTTTTTCTTTTAATAATTTATTAATTTAAAAAAAAAACAAGTCGGATCAAATCAGATCCAAAGATCCAATAGGATTCGAATTCAAATCGAGTCCTATCAAATTTAATCGAATCCAACATGAACAGTATCGGATTGGATTTAAATATACCCTAATTCAAATCCAATCCGATCCATTTGCATCCGAAGGGCAAATTATACAAAATAGTAGGCAGTCAAAATGTGAACACCCTTTAGATGATGTCAAATAAAGCATGCCGGGACAATCTGGCAATTTTAGCATCATCCATTCCCTGTAGCTTATCTTTTCTTTTTTCTTCGGGTCCACATTCCATGCACCTTATCACTCTAACTTGGATGATAGCTCCATATTTCTTCACTTCTGCTTCCATAGTTTTGGTGGATGCTTAGCACCGATGCATGAGTTTTCCATTTAATCAGCTTACATCAAGAAAAAAAAATGAAAATGTTAATGAAAAACGTTACTGCAATGAGTAGTGTTAAGATTCATGAGAGGGAGAGGTTCTTGAATCATCAAAATGACGCTACTTGAATAATCTTGGTGATCTTGAATCACCAAAGTGATTTGTCTTATTGAAATTAAAAGAAAAAAAAGTGACTTTTCTGAGATGCTATATGCTTGTCAAACCAGGTTTTCTACTCACAAAATATCTCCTGTACTTGATGTGGTCATTAATGTGAAGATGTTCCTCATATACAATTGTAGTGAGGAGTAAATCTAATTTCACGATTGTCATAATGAAATTATTATAAAAATAGCAATTAAAGCACTTTAAACCAATGTTTTTGAGCTGTTGTTGACCAAGGCGGTTGGACCGTTTGGTTTAGGAACTGTTCAAGCAATCAATTTTGTTTTATCTCAAACCCGTTTTTTGGCCAAAAACCGTTGAATTGATCAATGACCTGCTGACCTGGGCAGTCAAACTGTTGACCCATTCAATGGTTTTTGGCTGTTTTTTATTTT